CCGAGGAGGAGGAGGAGGGGGGGGGGGAGGAGGGGGAGGGGCAGGGGGCGGCGGCGGCGGAGGAGGAGGAGGAGGAAGGGGCAGCAGAGGAGGACGACCAGGAGGCGGCGGCTGAGGAGGAGGCGGCGGCTGAGGAGGTGGCGGCGGCTGAGGAGGAGGAGGCGCCCGAGGAGGCCGAGGGGGCGGAGGAGGAGGCAGCAAAGGGCGAGGCGGCGGACGAGGCGGCGGACGAGGCTGCGCCGATGGAGGAGGAGCCGACCGAGCCGGAGGCAACATCGGAGCCGGCGGCCGCCCCCGCCACGACTGCGCCGGAGGGGGAGTGACGCTGCCAGCGCTTCCCGCATGGCATGCGGCGCCCGGAGTCGGGAGCAGCATTGCAGCTCATGATACGAGACGAGGAGGAGCAAGCAGCCGCAATCGCGGTGCGCGGCTCGACACGTGTTGGAGGTATGCCGGGTCTCGTACGTGCAGGGATTCGTGGTATGTCTGTCGCTTTCCCTCTCCCGCCGCGCTGCGGGTGCTCTCCCGGCGCACTCGCGTCTGTTTGCGGGAGAGAGCGGGGGCGCGCAAGGTACCGTACGGCGCGTGCGCTACGGCCGACCAAAAAGAGCGCTTGGACCGCTGACACCGACGGGGGGGGGAGCGTGGTCGTTCGCCGGGTGCACTTGGAGCACTTGGAGTGCAGTCATCAACCTCACATCCAGGGCCGGGGAGCTGAGGAGCGCACCCAGCGGGCCGGATGATCGGTATCGGGTTACGGGCTAGAGAGCCCTAGTTCCGAGGTACGCCAGATGGTTTTTTCTTCTTCTGTGTTAGCGCCAGTGCGCGCCATCCCGTGCCCAGTTTGTGCTCAAATTCAATGAATGGAGCCAAGCGCCTTCGGACGAGTAGTCCAGCGGCTGCGAGCGAGCTTTCGACCATCCAGATCGCGCTCGTCGATCTGGTCGCGCTGTCGACCGGCCGCAGCGAGTCTGACGTCGCCGTGGCGCTCGGGATGCCGCCGAGCGTGGCGTCGAGCACCACACTGCTCGAGTTTGGGGTAACGTCGGCCGTGTGCGCCGGGCTGCGCTCTCGCGTATTTAAGCAGCTCGAGGCGGAGGTCACCTCCTTCGAGCTGCTGACGACCCCCTTCTGCGACCTCCTGCAACTGATTGCCGAGGCGAGGAAGCAGGACGTCCTGCTGGGCGCAGCGATCCCGCCAGCAGCCGCACCCGTCTGAGCCTGCGCCCCGGACACCGGCCCGAGGCATTGTGCACCAGCATTGCGCACGGTACCGCACAATTACAGGGTTGCTCGCCATGACCAGTGTGTGGTGGGCTGGACGGTGTGCACGCTCTACAGCCTGTCGGAGACCCGTGTTTCTCCCAATGTTCTCCTCGTGCCATTCTGTGCTGAGGTAGCGGCGGAAGAGCGCTGTAGAGCTCGAGCTGCAGCGCGCGCTGTGCCCCAAAACGCTCGGAGAGAGAGACTGCTGCTGAGTCGTGCTGTGGGCATCTCTCTTTCGGCGGCCCCCCGTGCTCGCCTCCCCGGGCGCGCTTGCGTATCCCCAGCAAGCCAGCGGCGCGGCGTGCCCCGTGAAGCGCGCCGAAGTTGGCATCGGGGAGTACTGCGAGAGGAGCAGAGGCGCACCCCGCAGCCGCCGCTGCCGGCCGCGACACCGCCGGCTGCGCTGCCACTGCGCGACTGCGGGCGGGGCTGAGCTGCAGTGACAGCTCCTGCCGCAGCGAGGCGTAAAAGTCGAGGTAGCGCTCGGTACCGCCCGCCATCCTGCGCACGTCCACACGGTGCCGCTCGCCATCCCCACAGCGCCTCCCTGCGGCACAGAGAGAGAGGCGGGGGAGACGGGTCGCCGCCAAGCATGCGAGCGGAGCGGGCCAGGCAGTGAGCAAGCGCCAGATGTGGGGAGATGTGGGGAGATATGGGGAGATATGAAGCCGGGCGGCGAGCAAGCGCCTGCCGAGATATGGCCGAGATATGGCGCCGTGTGTGGGGTGCCGGCAGAGGTCTGTCTGGCGCCAGGGGCGTGGACACATGTTGTACTGTTGCATGATAGTCATGTTATATCGCCAGAACTCGACCCCCCGCGTCCGGGGGAGGTCTGGTTCGTCGAATAAATAAGGTTTGGATAGGTTTTGGGGGCTTTGGACACCGAGAATGGCCATTTTATTTTATCTGTAGGAGCCATAGTTTTCACACCTGTCCCGCGTAATATCTTTCCCGCGTGATCCGTGACGGCGATGGCGGTGTGACCGATCGAGCTACAAGAGGAGCTTGTTCAGCAGGATCCGGGGTAGTCAGATGCACTACCTCACTGGCAGTGTGACTGGGTCTGAGACCACCGCACGGCCAGCCCCAGCTTCTTGGCGTTTCCTGCCAGCGCTCACATGCCAAAAGACACCGCGCAGCGCGCGTGACGTGACCGAAGCGGCACGCCTCGGCGCCGCGAGAGCAGCCGGTCGACGTCGGCACCAAGCGGCCGCCGGGCGCCTCCGAACCGACAGGGGCGCCGCGGCAGTAGAGAGCACTGCACCCGCCATACCGTTTTTCTGGCCCGTCAGTCCCGTGCCCCCTCGCAGACGGCAACCCAGACCCGAGCGGATACGGCAGGACTGTCTGTTTTGACTGGGCGCGTAAGCGCAATCCGGCACTCATCCCGGCGATGCGGTTGGTGTTTGGTCGACGCAGCTTCCTCCGTCTGTGCAGCGCGGACGGACCGCTCCAGGACCCTCGGGCAGCCGGACCGAGCGACGCCGACGCACCGTGGGACCCGCTCAGCCTGGAGCCGCCCGGCGAGGACGCCGACGGCTACATCCGGTCGTGCTGCGGCGGCGCCCAAGGGCGCGCCTTCTCAGGGATGTGCACCACCGGAGTCAAACACGAGATCGACAACATTGTGCAAAAGAAGAACCCGACTACCCGCTTCGTTTCGTTCATCGACGACATGGTTCAAAACGACACCGTGGCAGAGGCCGTCAAGTCTTACTGCGGAGAGGGCGGGACACTCGAGGTGCAAAAAGATGTCGCTGGCAACCTCGACAACGAGGAGAAGTGCATCATCTACTCTCCGAGCGGCGACCTCGACTGCGTACCCCCCTTCATGGTCGGCTCGCCGCACCACCGAGACGAGGACGGGAACCTCACCGGACGCGAGGCCTGCTTCAAAATCGTCGGAACTTACCTCGGCGACACAGAGGCTGCCTCGGAGGCGATTGGCAAACGCCTCGCCAAAAACCTCCGTCCGCTCGACTTCATCGACACGCTCGAATGCACCGAGGGCATTCAGAACGTTGGACACCTCAAGTACAACCTCATCACCCGTCAGGCCTGCCCAAAGACGAAGTACATTTGCTCCGTCACGCCACCAGAGATCAGCGAGGGCCCGGCCATCGACGGTAGCAACCGGATTCGCAAATCGTGGGAACTACTCACGGAGGCCAAGGATACTCCTGCGAAATACAAAGACCTCGGTTGGAGGCAGGCTATGCTCCCTACCATCACTGGAGGCTCCGGCGTCGACACGGGCGTCACCTCGGTCGGCGTGCTTAACGACACGGGGGAGGGCCGCACGGGCGTACGCGGCCCGGCCGAAGCCTACCACAACTCCCTCCTCAAATGCTGGTCAAAGCTTGTGGCCTGCAGCCCAGACCTCGCCGAAGCCGAGCGCTGCGGCGGGTACGGCGCACGGGACGCCGCCGTCAACTCGTACAGAGCCGCGCTCTCGAGGCGAGACGAGGTGGCCTCCATCCGAGCCGCGCGCGACGACAACATCTACTACACCTTGCGCGGCGGCAAAATCTCTGAGTTCTACCCCAAGGGCGTCAGCCTCCCCACTTCTGAGTCCCTTCCAACACCGGAGTCAGTCATCGATGGCACTTGCAAATCAGGAAGCCCGTACGCGCGGGCGCTTGCTGCCATCGAGACTATCTGGAACTGGTTCGATCTGCAGAAGGAGTGGCGCGCCCTTGACGACTACACAGCAGCCAACTGGCAGCCCGGCGACACCAAGATACGTTACCGCGAGTCCATCCGCTACGTCTCAACTTCGCAGCCTTACGCGGGGCGGTGGCTCGACACCAAACTTGACGGCAGCAACGCCACAACCATTCCAGACGACATATTCATCGGCGAACTTCAGCGCCGAAACGGTCTTCACCTCTCGCAGTGCCGCTCGACTGTCACGCGGGCACTCGAGCTTGGGGACACAGTCGGTGGTGCAAAGGACTACCATGGCGACTGGTTCCTCAACAACGCCGCCCGGCGGCGCCCACACGACGGCGTACTTCGCGCCTGGTACGATTGTGTCGCCGCCGTCTCCATCTCCCGGCCCGTTATGGGAGATGCCGAAAAACCTGAGCTCACCAAACAGTTCAACGAGGGCTACAAAACCGACCTGGCTGAGCCGGGCGCGGCTCCCGGGGGCAAAGACGAGATCAGCGAGGTCAAACTTTGGACCCCCCTCCGGGGTGGCTTGCCTGTTGGGGTCGGCCGCGCCGACACCGGAGGCAACCCCGGCTCCGTTGGAGACAAGTTCGCCTTCGGCAACACCGAAGAGCGCGCCCGCCTTGCAAACATGGGCTGCAAGCAACGCGGGTTCCGTGGTCAACGTGCGTTCGACCACACCACCGGCCAAGGCTACGTCAAGTCGCAGCGTGGCCACTACCATGACGGGATCTTCGGCAAACGAAACAAGTTCAACCTGCTTCTCCACGAGACATTCGGCGGCGGCTTCTCGCCGCCTGCAGTTGCAAAGATCAACCGCCTTGCGCGCAAGGCTCAACGCTCGGGCGTTGACCGCACCGCGTACCCTCCCCACTCCCGCCTCTCATTTGTGTCACACCACGCGGAACGCATCTCCATCGCTTCGGTGAAGGGGGTGAACCGTGCCATCCTCGATCGCCGTGCTAAGCTCGCTTCCGAGCTCTCACGCCGCGCGTAGGGCCCCTAGGGGCCTAGAGAACACAACCCCCTCTCTCTTTTCTCCCAGTAAGCTAAAAGTACGTACACAGATGGGCGCAGGCGGCAGCCGCGACAGCGGCGGCGACGACCCGGTGGAGCGCATCATGAGGGAGGCTCCGCCCGACCAAATGCTGGCGTCCGTGCGCGACCTCCCGTTCCCCAAGGGCCACCCGATGCTTGCCCGCTTCGCTGACGCTCTGGAGGCTGAGTACGTGCAGCGGCGGGGCCCGATGGTCGGCAACTTTCTGGACGGGCTCTCGGAGGCGCGGGACATGCCGGGCGTACGGCCCGATGACTTCAATGAATGGGTGGCGTGGGTCGAGGCGCTCATCCGCGTGTCGTACGAGCAGCGGCGGGGCATCATCACCATGGATCAGCTGCGGGCCGAGTGGGGGCTCGCGCAGGCGGCCGGGTATGCTCACGCGCAGCCGGCCACGGCCGTGGCGCAGCCGGCCACGGCCGTGGCGCAGCCCGCCTACGCGCAAGCCGGCCCGGCTGTTGCAGTTGCGACGGCCGTGCCCGCCGGCGGTTACCCTCAGGCGACACCGGCGGGGGCCTCAGCCTACCCACAGGCTGTCCCCGCCGATCCGCAGGGTACACCTGCGGTGGCCACGGCTGTGGCCTACCCGGCATAGAGAGGTCGTGTGTGCAACCTGAAAGAGGTTGTGACACGATCGAGCAGTTGTGGTTGTGACGGCAGCACTGTGCCTCTTCAGGCAGATGGTTTCGGCGTGGCCCTCTCTGTGCTCCGTCGCCGGTGTATTGCCGGCGCGTGTAGGCTCTCTCCGCGTGACCTCTCCCACCTTCTCTCTCTTGAGTCTTGCCCAGGGTGGAAGGCGCGCGGCGCGGTGTGGGCTGTGGCGCGTGTGCGCCCCACGCAGCACGCTGCGTCGCCGTGACGCCGGGTGTCGGAATGGCGCATGGTGTATCGGTGTGTCCGGCAGGTGGGGTTTTTCGTGAGTCCATCACAAGAAATACAGAGATGGCCTCAACGGGCACAGATATGATCACTGGCATCAATATCGGGGTGGCTGGTGTGCGTGTGGGCAGGCAGACTTCCCGCCCACCGATTGGGCCGCTGCACACAGGATTCGCGCCAGACCGGTCTCCTCTCATTCACTCACTCACTTGCGGCCCTTGGGCATCAGCTTCGACGGGAAGGTGCGCACCTCGGACTTGTTGATCGGACCCTTGCCCTTGGGCTTCTGCAGGCGCGTGTCGTACTTCTTCAGCGCGCCCTGGGAGGAAAGAGGGGAGGGGGTCGGAGGCCCACCACCGCAGGCGCTGGAGCCGCACCCTGTCCTAGGGGGCTGGGCGCAAGTCGGGGCGCACCAGCGGGTCCCAGCCAGAGCCAAGCTGCACAGACGCCAGCGTCTCCGGCGCGCCGCCCCACTTGCGCGTGTCGATGGTGTTGCGGTCTGCCGCGGGCGAGGGCGCGGGGTGAGGAGCCCCGCCTCGGCCGTGGCTCGGGACGCGCAGCGGGAGAGAGCTGCGTGGGCGGCGCACTTCCCCGCGTTGCATCAATCGGGTTGTTGAGGCCCTCGAGGATGGACCAGCCCTTGGCGATGGACTTGCGGGCAGGGCCCTTCTTGTCGGCCATCACCGGCGACGCAACCCGCGAGGACGACACGACAGGCGCCGGCGCGGAGCCGGCGATGAGGCTAAGGCCGAAGGAAGCAGCGAGGGCGAGCATTTCAGAAGAGAGAAGAGCAGCGAGATGCAGGGCGATCACCTATTTGCAAAAAAACAAAGGGGTCCAGTCCGAGCCTGGCTGTTCTTCACCTTTCTACCTACCTACCTACCTACGGGATCCTGCCAGTGGTGTCTGTTTTCTTTCTTTCTTTTTGCCGTCCTCCCATCCCTCCCTTGGGTTGTCTGTTTTCTTTCTTTCTTGGGTGCGAAACAACGACAGGACCAAGGCACGGGCAGAGGAGCGAGAGAAGAACCCATAGGATCGATAGGGCGCTTGCTTGTTCCACGGCATGCATGGAGGGTGAGCCACGCTGAACGTAATGAACGTAGAGCCGAACGGGAGGAAGCCGGGGAAGAAAGAAGACTCCGAGGAGGACGAAACACCAGTGGTAATCCCGTCGTCAGCTGTAACGATGCCCCCGAACGAAGGGGCCCCAATGCCACCCGGGGGCAGTTCCCCAGAGGGAGATGAGCCCCCCAGTGGAGTAGGGAGTCCCCCGAGCCCCGCGTTGGGACCCTGTCGTTGTCCCTTTTCAGGGGCGGGAGAATTGGGGGAGCGCACCCAGTGGGGGGCCCGGCCTTGGGCCCCGGTGCCCCGGGGGGAAATTTTTTCCTATAGGAGAGGGGAATCCCGGGGCCCCTTTGGGGGGGGGGAACCCTGCCCAGCCCCCTTCGGGGTGGGGAAATGGGTTTTCCCCCCTCCGGTTCCAATAGGGGTCCCGGATGGTCCTTCCAAAATCCTGCTGGGGCAGGGGGGGACCCGGCCCCCCTCCCATCCCTGGTTGGGGTTGTTGTTTTTTTTAACGGCCCCCCCCCCCCCCCCCCCCTGCCCCTCGATTTCCCCTTTCCCTTTCAAGCGATTGTGCCACAAATTGTGCCACAAAACTGCTGCAACAAGTAAATCTAAAAAACAAGAATGACAGTGCAAGACCGTGATATTAATAAATGGGATTGCGAGCGGATCGCTTGGGCGGGGCGCGGCTCACACACTCTCAGTGCTCAGGAAGAGCGCGAACTTCTCCGTTAACGCAACATGGCAGCGGCGGCCAGCGGCTCGCCGTCGCCGCCACTCTCTTCTCCTGCGCTCACCTCGCGCACGTTCCGCCGGCTCGTGTGCGCCAACAAGCACAAGTCTGCCGAGGACGCGAGAGCAATGGGAGCGACTCGAGCAATACTGCTGTCCGCCGTCGCTCTCACCACCCTCGTGGTGGCTACGATCGCCCTCGTCATCACCATCGACGGCATCACATCAGTCGGTCCACGGGATCCACAGCTGCCGCTCTCACGGCGACCATTACCGCCGCCGCTATCCCTGCCACCGCCGCCGCCGCCGCCTCCCTCGCCGCCGCCTCCCTCGCCACCACCACCCGCAGCGCCACCGCCCTCGCCTGCGCCCTCGCAGCCACCCTCGCCTCCGCAACCCTCACCGCCGCCGCCATCGCCCACGCCGCCGCCACCGGCGGAACCGCCGCCCGTGCCACCGCCGCCCACGCCGCCTCCACCGAGGCCTCCGCCTCCAACCCCTCCTTCGCCGCTGGCACCATTGCCCACACCACCGCCGCCAGTCCCGCCGCCGCCAGTCCCACCACCACCGCTGCCGCCACCTCCCTCTCCACCGCCGCCACTCCCACCGCCACCACTGCCGCCACCTCCCTCTCCACCGCCGCCACTCCCACCGCCACCGCTGCCGCCACCTCCCTCTCCACCGCCGCCACTCCCACCGCCACCGCTGCCGCCACCTCCCTCTCCACCGCCGCCACTCCCACCGCCACCGCTGCCGCCACCTCCCTCCCCACTGCCGCCTGCGCCACCGGCTTTACCGCCGGCCTCGGCCCGCCGCCGCCTCCTCCTCTCCGTCGTCACGTAGTGTTTTGTCAGTCACACACAATCTTCTTAGTAAACGCAAGGTCGCTGTCTATACACTTAACCTTCGCCGTCTGGGCAGCGTCGCGCCTCCGTCCGCCTGCTGGGCAGCCGCCCGCCTTGCTTGCTTGGAGCCTCTGGCGCCCGACAGCGAATTCTTTTCTGCAGGCTGATCTGCGCTAAGGATTCCTAAGGCCTGGCGAGTAGAGGCCCCGCCCACCCAGGGTACCCTCTCCGAGGACCCATTTGGACTCGCCGGGGCTCTGCTCCAAGAGACCTCGAGAGAGCGTGCGTGTGCCTCTACTCGCCAGCGCTAATAAGGCCCCGCCCCCTCCGGGGTACCCCTCGCCGAGCTCCCTGCAGGCGAACACGCGTCGGTGGCTACTGCCCCTCCTCCTCCTTTGGCTCGGCGCGAATGGCGGCCACTCCCGAGCCTCCCTCGGACGCGCCCACGTCGGACCCTCCGCCTCGAACCGTGGGCGCCCCCTCCCGCGGCGAGCGCTCCTCGATGGGCGCGCTGCGGCCGCTGGTCGGCGGGCTTGCCCTCCTCCTGGTCAACCACCTCCTCAACGGCGCGGTCGAGGCCGGCCTCCCTGCCGTTCTCTCGCACGGCACCGTCCGCACACAGCCGCGACACAACGCCTCTGCCGCCGCGCTCTACGCCGCCGCCGCCTCCGCCGCCTCTGCCGCCGCGGTCGAGGCGGACCCCCATCTGCTTCGCGTCGAGCTGATGGTGCGGCGCGAGGAGGCCGCGGGCGAGGGCGCCGCCGGCGCCGCGCCCGAGTCCTTCTCGCTGCTCCAGGTGCACCACCGCTCGGCCACCGCGCCGCCCGCGCCGCTCGTGCTCGGCCAACGCAGCGTGCTCGAGGCGGCCGGCGGCGCGGCGGTCAGCCTCGATCCGCCCATCCGGCTGACGACCGTCTTTCCCGAGCGGTCCCGCTGGCGCATCCCGCCGCCTCCGGCCGAGGCGCAGCCGCCGCCGCTGGGCGACGTCGCGCTGTTGGTCGTGCTGCAGAGGATTGAAGTGGCAGACGGCCAGGCGGACGCGTTTAGCAGGGCGTGGGCCGGCCTCGGCTACAATGCGCTCGGCGAGCCGGGCACCGTCCGCTGCGACCTCTTCGCCGTCGACGGCGCGCCGCTCGCCTTCTATTCGCGCAAGGCGTTCCGCTCCGCCGCCGACCGCGCGGCGCACGAGGCGTCGGCGCACTTTGCGGCGTGGGCGAGCGACGTCGCGCCGCTGCTCGACGCGGCCGGCCTCAGCCGGCCGCCGCTGCTCCTGGACGCCGTGTTCCCGCGCTCCACGCCCTTCCCCTTCTCGAGCGGCTGGAGGACGGCCTAGCCGTCCGCCGCTCGAAACTACCCGCCGCTTCTTGCCTAGCTTTCCGCGCCTCTCTGCAGTGCACGTCTCTCCTGTTAGAATTTTGCGGCGGCGGCGCCGAGTCTTATGTTCAGCGCGCACGCGCGCCCTTTGCGGCAGCCGGCGCAGCGGAGATCGCAGTTCGCAGCAGACTTATATCGGGCGCGGGGCGGTCGCACCCCGTACGGAGCTCTATTGTTGAGCGAGCATTCAGATTCAGGATTCTCAGCAGCATCTTGGAGCATATAGTATTGCAAGCAGTCGCCTCACGACTAAAAAGAACAAGAAACCCCCTGTGCAAGCTAGGGCTGGGTCGAGGACAGTCCCCCAAACTTTAGCAAAAAAAGAAAAAGAAGTGCCCATGAAGAAAAAATCTCGCCGTCTTGTATCAGCCGTCGCCGCCGACACTTGTGCACAGCAAGACAGCAAGCAAGGCATCGGTACAAATCGGTACAAATCGGCATCGGTACAAATCTGGCCCTCGCAACCCACGCCTCACCATCGCGCAACCCACCGCCGCGTCGCGCAATGGGCGAGCTCCTCTGGCGCGATCCCGCCTTCATCGACATCTACTCCGGCCCTCTGAGCGACAGCACCTACAGCACAGAGAGCCGCGTCGAGAACTTTGCGAACCGGGCTGCCGGGATGGGCAAGTCGCTGCTAGGAGGGCTCGCCGCCAACCTGACAGAGATCGTGCCGGTGAAGCTCCGGTCCGGCCTGCGAGCGCTGCAGGAGGTGAGCGACATGAAGGATGCCCTGAGCGGTGCAATCACTGGCAACGGCAGCAGCAGTGCCGCCCTCGACGGGCTGCGTGCAGCGCTGCAGCTGGTTCTGCGCGGGCTGCTCGATGCAGAGGCCTCCGAGCTCGGCATCGAGGCGGACGACGCGGCGGTGCAGCTTGCGGCGACGGCATTGCGCGGCGCCGTGGCCTTCGCGGCGGAGCTGCCCGTCGGCTCGCGGGATGCGCGCAAAGCGGTCGACTTTGTCGCGGCTCTCGTCTCGCGGCTCGAGCAGCTGCCGCCGGCGGGCAGCATGCTCGTGCCCGCCGGCTGGCTGGGCGACGAGCCGGACGCGCCGCCCAGCCTGCTCCTCCTCAGCGTGGCGCGCCGCATCGACGGCGGCGGGTACGACGTCTGGGTCTGCAACGCCGGAGACGGCCTGCAGTACCACGCGGTGCGCGCCTCGGACCGGATGGGCTCGCTGCGGGTGAACGCGCCGGCGCGACTCCCGTCCGTGAGCGAGGAGCGCGCCTCCTCGGCCGCGTTTTGGTTCCTGCTGCTGCGACCTCTCATCTGGCCGTGCGGCGCGGCCGCCTCGCGGACCGCCGTCTACGAGCAGCTGCTTCCCTTCCTGACGCTCGCGCCGCTCGTCTCGCGCGTGGGGCCGGAGGAGGCGGCCTGGGTGCCACCGCCGTCCGCCGCCACCGCCGCCGGCTGCGGCGGCCTCGCCATGCAGGCGCTGCACGCGCTGCTGCGGGCGGGAGGACTCGACGGCGGCGCGGCGCGCCACGTCGAGATCACGCTCCACGCCCAACTGATGGCGCGCGCGACCTCTCCCGACCCTCTCCCTCTCCCGAGCCCGAGCCGCGATCCCCCGTGCACCCGCACCCTAGGTGCGCCTCACCTCCTCCCTCGCCGCGACGAGCACCATCTTCTCGTCGGACGCCGCGCTCGTCCGGCTGGCGCTGCAGCAGGTGGCGGCGCTTGCCGCAGACCAGCTGGGTGTCCCAGCAGACCAGCTTAGAGAGGGCGCCGGACCGACGACTGACTCGCACGCGTTGCAGCTGCTCGGCACGCTCGACGAGGCGTCCCTCGCCCTCGCCGCCGCCGTCCGCCGCACCGAAGGCGGAGGGCCGCCGCGGCTCACGGCGGAGGGTGGCGCGGGCGGCGAGGGCGGCGGCGAGCGCGGCGGCGAGCGCGCCATGTCGACCCGCTTCCCTCTGTTTGGCTGGCTGCGGCGCGACCTCGATGCGGTGCTCGCGCTTGCGGGCGGGGAGGTGGTGCCTCCGATTGTGCGGCCCGTGCGGCTCACGCTGGTCGCCGATTCGGTCTCTGACTACGACGGTGCGCTCGCCGTGCTGCGGCACGCGGCGCAGCTGTGCACCGTCATCTCGCACCAGGCAGGCCGCATGCGCAACAGCTACGCGCTGCGCGCCTCGCTCCTCGAGCACATTGCGGCGCGAGTGCTCCCGCTCCCGCTCCCGCTCCCGCCGCGCCGCCCGAAGCACGTCGCCGCGGCGCTCGCGCAAGGCGGCGACGACGAGGCGCTCGGCGGGTGGCGTGGCGTCGGGGAGTGGGACTCGGACGTCGACGCCGCCGCCGAGCCCGCGTGCGGTTGCTTCTGGTGGCGGCGCGGCATGCGAGCGGCGACGCAGCTCGAGCTGCTTCGGCTGCTCTCCCTCCTCTCGCGCCACTACGCGACTGTCGTCCTCTCGATGAACCCGACCGTCCTCTCGGACGCGTCCCGCATCCTCACCTTTGCCTCGTTCGCCGCGCTGGCCGATGCGGTCGTGCGGCGCACCGCCTCCGACTGCCCGTCCGCCTTCTCCCTCCAGTACTCGGGCGCGGCCACGGGCCCGTCCGAGCCGTACGCCTTCACCGTCGACCGGCTCCGAGACGAGTCGGCGACGATGCGGCTGCACGACGAGTCGCTCCTCGCTAATCGCACGCGGCTGCTCGACTACTTTGCGTCGACGAAGGCGCTCCTCCTGCCACCCGTCGCCGACGAGGCTGGCGCTGGCAGCGAGGCCGCCGAAAGCGACGCCGACGGCGACGACGGCATGTGGGCGGTGGCCGCCAAGGAGTTTGGCAAGGAGCCGTTCAGCAACGGGCGCGACAGGCGGTACGAGGAGGTCAAGGCGGCGCTGCGCGAGCAGTTTGGGCGCGACGCCGTCAACGAGCGCTCCAAGCCCCGGCTCAAGGCGCTCGCCGCGGCGCACGGGGTGGAGGCGAGCGGAGAGGCGGCGGCGCCGAAGCTGTCCGGGCCCGACCCCGCGCGGACCTGCTTCCGCTTCGACAGCACGATGCAGTGGGGCGGCGGCGACGCGGCTCTCATCGACCAGCTCACGTACAGGGTGGGGTATCCGTCGCACGGCTTCCCCGAGGCCGAGGGCAAGCCCGACGCGGAGTCGCACGCGGCCGCGTCGCCTGCGCCGTGGCGCTACTTCACGGGCGAGGCTGCCGAGTTCGCCGCCGATTGCCCCGAGCTGGGCGCGCTGCGCGACACGGTGCTGCGTCTCGAGGCTTCCGCCCGTGTACGACGTGTGAACAGCGTCTCTTCACACCTCTACTGTGAATAGGTGCTGCGTCTCGAGGCGTCCCACCCGTGCACGACGTGTCCGCGACACGCCCACGGCGCGTCCATAGGTGCTGCTGCTCAAGGCCTTCATGGTGCCGACAGCCGAGGAGCTGCCGCCGCTGCAGCCGTGGACGGTGGCCGACGCCGACGTGGTTTGGACATCGGACAAGCAGGGAGGCCTCTCCGCCGTCGCCTTCGGACGCCAGCTCTCGTGCGCCTACGTCGGCCGCGAGGCTGCCGGCGAGAAGAAGTCACTCTTCAGCTCGGCCTTTGGCAGGATCCAGTCCTTCTTCGCCGGCGGCGCCAACCGCCCCCGCGCCCCGCCCTCCGCCGCCGACCCGTCGGCGCTGGCGCAGTCGCCCATCTGCTGCGAAGACGACGTGCTCCACCTCAAGGAGCTCCCCTCCTTCGGCGGCCGCGTCTCGTCCGTCGAGGCGGAGCACCTGCTGCAGGTGCTCACCGTGCCCTACCTTCGGCTGCCTCTCCTTCTCTCCTTCTTCGCGCCGCAGCACCGCGTCGCCGCCCTCGCCGAGACGCGCGTCCAGGAGATGCTCGACGCAACCCTCTTTGAGCCCGGCGAGTGGCTCCCGCCCGCCGGCTCCCCGGCGGTGACCGAGGTGCCCGCGCCGTCGCGCGCCCCCTTTGCGACCCGTCGTGAACAGCGTCTCTTCACACCTCTAGCTGTGAACAGGTGCCCGCGCCGTCGCGTGCTCCCTTCGCGACCCGTCGTGAACAGCGTCTCTTCACACCTCTAGCTGTGAACAGGTGCCCGCGCCGTCGCGTGCTCCCTTCGCGACCGCCGCTGGCCTGCTCGTCAACGAGATGCAGCACGCCCCCGAAGGGCTGGCCGCCTCGCTCCTCGAGATTGGCACGAACGCGCTCGAGCTCGACCCGGGCAAGTTCAAGCCGGATGGCGGGCCCGCTGCGATCCTCTATGCCGTCCGCCTGCTCACGCGCGTGCAGAGCGTCGCCCGTGCGATGACCGGCGCCGACGATGCCGCAGGCGCGGCCGGCGCGATCGCGCGCGCTCGCGGGATGGCGCCGCGCGCCTCCGCGCGCAGGACGCTGCGCCAGCTCTCGCGCGCCATCAAGGAGCTGCTGTGGGGCCGCTACTTCCCCGTCCTCGAGCGGTGGGCCGAGCGGTGCATGGTCGGCGAGCGCGACACGGCCTCGGCCGCCATCCTGCAGGCGCACCTCGCCATGCTCGCCTCGACGCTGCCGCCTTCCGAGCTCGACTTCCGCGCCGTGTCGACGCTGCTCGTCGCGCAGGTCTACCTCGCCAACTTCTACGCGTGGGACGTGGACGTGGACGCGCGCCGGCAGGCGGGCAGGGGGCGGGTCGCCGCCGACGACGGGCTGCTCGTGCCGCAGACCGAAGTGCTCTCCCTCTTCCAGCGCCAGCGAGGCCGCCTGCTCGCGTGGCTCGACGCACACCCGCGGCTGGCCGACGAGTGCATGGAGGCCATCGAGCGGGTCGTCTCGTACACGGGCCTCCGCCGTCGCGCGCATGACGACGCCGTGGCACGCGGCTGGGCACGCGTTGGCGCAAACGGCCGCTTCTGCCCGACCACGGAGCTGCCGGCGGCGCTCGAGGCGTCGGCGCGCGTCGCCGCCGCCGCCGCTCGCGACGGGCACAACCGTTGGTACTACCGCGTGTGCAACGAGAGCGTCGACACCGAGATCGACATCGAGCTCGGCGAGTTCTCGGTCCGCCGCGGCGGGGCGGCCCTCTCTGGAGGGGTGCCTTGCACGGCCACCCGGCGCCCTCCTGGCCGTAGGTGCGCCGCAATCGCGTGCAGCTGGTGCCGCGCGAGTTTGGCGAGTTTGCCGACGCACGCGTCGCTCTGGGAGGCGCACTCGACGCGAGCCAGCTGCCGCAGTGCGCGGTGGTGCGGTCGACGGCACACTGCGAGCACGTGCGGCCGCTCTCCGCCCGAGAGGAGCCCGCCGCCGAGGCTCGCCTGAGGGCGCGGGGTTGCGGCTGCAGGTGCGGCTCGTCTCGCAGCGGATGGACCTCCTCAGGTGGGACTCGGACCCGCGCGACCTCGGCGAGGCCCTCGGCTGGACGCGCCCCTACCCGGGCGGCCTCGCGCCCAGCGAGCGGTGGCTGCCTGCCGTGCTCGACCGCTGGCGCGGGATGCCGCGAGGTGCGGCGCTCACGCTGCCGCCCGGGCCGAGCGTGCACGCCGGGGTCGCCATGCTGCTGCTGCGGGCGACGATGACGCCGCCGCCGCCGGCTGGGCAAGAGGGGGCCGGCCCCGCGGTGGTCGTCTCGCGGCAGGTCGTGGCGCACGCGAGCGGGCGGGTCGAGGTGTACGCGCTCGAGTCGCTCGGCCGCACGATCTATCGCCGCTTCGCGCAGACGTCCGACGCGGCCTCCTCTCTCCACGAGCCATCTCCCGAGAGCTGTGAACGGCGTCTCTTCACACCTCCAGCTGTGAACAGGCCTCCTCTCTCCACGAGCCATCTCCCGAGAGCCAGCAGTGGGTGCCGACCCAGCCGCCGCCCGACCCCTCGCGCGGCGCCGTCCTCGGCCTCGCGCCCGCCCGGCCTTCGCTTCGCGTCGCCCGGAACTTGGCGAACGCGCCCCACCTGGCGCAGCAGACGCTCGTGCCGAAGCGGCTCCTGCGCGGCCTGCTCCCCGACGCGCTCCTCGACGGCTACGTCTTTTGGCAGGCTGACGGCGAGCCGCAGCACCTGCACGGTTTCGAGACGGACGAGACGGCCGCCGCCGCCGTCACCCACCACCGGCTGCTCGTCGAGCTGCGCCCGCCGCCGGCGGAGCCGCTGGAGGGCGCCGTGGCCGCGCCGATGCTCCCCACGGGCACGTCTTCTTCGCTCTTCAACCTGGCGGGCGACGCTGCCGATGGCGTCGTGACGCGCTTGCCGCTCTGCGACGTGCACGCCGCTGCGCCCCGCACCGACGCCGTCGTGGACGACTCCAAGCCGCGGCTCGTCCTCGCCAACGCGGCCGCCTCCGCGTCCTCAGCGCCGCTCGTCGCGCTGCTACAGCGGCTCGAGAGCGCCGCGCACACGCTCTTCTGGTGCGCTCCGCCCGCGGCCGACGGCGACGCCGCTGCTCTCGCGCGTGTCGAGCTCCCGCGGCTGCGGCTCAGCTTCGCCGTCGTGGGGGGCCGGCTGCTCTCCGAGGAGCACGGCGGGCACTGGATCTCTGACGCGCGGGGCGGGGCTCTCGACCAGCTGCTGCTCGGCCTCGCGGCGCACTGCCTGCTGCTCGAGAATGCGACCGGCGAGGTGCTCGTGCTGCTGCCCGCCACCGGCCGGCCGCTGCCCGTCGCCTCCGGTGTGCACCTGCTCCACGGCGACGCGGGCTGGCTTGCCAACCTCCACCCCTCCGTGCGGCACTACGTCTACGCGGCGCACCCGTCGGGCGCCTTCCTCGCCTCGACGACGCTGGGCTCGTCGCTGTACCTCCTCGTCTGCTACCTCTTCACGAGCAACCACGAGCTCGCCTTTCGCCTCGCCGAGTGCTGCGTCTCCGACACGCCCCTCTCGCCCGAGGAGGCGCAGCTCTGGGCGACGCTCGGTCTCGCGGCGCACGACACGCACCCGGACGCCCACGCGGTGCGCCTCAAGCTGTCGCTGGTCACGATGGGGGCGGAAGACGTGATGGCGTGCCCGTGGGACGTGGGGGCCGAACTGCGCGGCTACCTCTCGAAGGCGCCGCACGTCTCGCCCGCCTGCCGCCTCTCCCCCGACGAGGAGGCGCTCCTGTACCAGGAGCACAAGGCGACGCTGCCGACCAAGGGGAACGACGCGGTCGACGTGCTCAACCGGCGAGCCGTTCTCAAGGCGATCCGCGCGGGCGAGGCGGAGGCGCCGCTCGCGCTGCCAAAGCCGCTCGTGCCGCCCTCCTTTGACGCCGTCGCCGACGGCTCGTGCCTCGACAGCGGCGATGGGCTCGGCAGCCTGCTCGAGGCGGCGCAGCGCAAGGGTGCCGCCGCCTTCTACTCGCGGGCCGCCGAGGGCACGGGCGCCGAGGTGGCGAGCATAGTCCACGAGGCGCTCGAGGGCGGCGCGCTCACCCTCGGCGGCTCGCGCGGCTTCTTCTTTTTATACGAGCTCATGAGCGGCTCGCTGCAGCTGCAGCTGCTGCCCTCCGAGCTGGGCGACTCGCCGCACAGCCTCGCGTGCGTGCTGCTGCGCATGCTGCCGCAGCACGAGACCTCCTCCCGCGGGCTGCTCCAGTCAATCCTGCGCACGATGGCGGCCAACCGCGCCGTCGCCGCCGCGCTGCCGCCGTACGAGCCGCCCGCCCAGAAGAGCGAGGTCCTCACCAAGGAGGACCCCTCCAAGCAGCTGCTCCTAGCGGTGCACGACGCGCTGCAGGCCAAGCGCGCGAGTCTGCTCTGGGCGACGGGGGAGCCGATGAGCGGGGCGATGTCGATGCCGCCGCCCGCCTTCCGGCCGCCCGACGTGCTGCGCCTGCAGCCCACCGCCGCCTACCGAGAGCTCATCGTGCCGCGCGCCACCGACGTGGCATGCGCCAAGCTGCGTGTGGCGACGGTCAAGGGCGCCGCGGTGGAGGGCGCCGACATGGACGCCGCCGAGCTGACCGCGCTCTGCAGCACGCCGCTCTCCCCGCTGCCGCTCGACCGCTTCGTGCGGAGCGCGGCGGCACGCAGGGACCGGCCGGGCGGCGGGCTGCCGTTTGAGCTGCGCAAGCACCCGCGCGCAAAGTCGCCCGTCGCCTTGGAGATGCTCTCGCGGCTCGCGGCGGACTGTGAGCTCTACGCGGACGCGGAGGCGAGCCGGACCATGGTTCAGCTCGACTGCCTCCGCCCACGGAGCGTCCAAGCTCTCTTTGGTCCATCGGCGCGTACCGCCGCCACCAAGGCCGCCTCGAGCCTGCGCGCCTTGCGCAGCGCGCTCGAGCAGCTGTGCGTGGCCGACGAGGGCGCAGCGCACGCCGCCGCCGAGGCGGCCCTCGGCCTCGTCAACGGCGTCCCCCGCGACCCGCCCTCGCGTGAGCTGCTGAGCCACAGGCTGAGGGTGACCGGCGGCCGCGAGCCCAAGGTGTGGTTCGAGCTGCTCGTCGCGCTCTCGATGTCGGAGCACGGCGTCGCCGCCCTGTGCCACTTCAACCCGTACTTGGGCGAGCAGCTCGCGCAGCGCGCCCTCCACCTGTGCGCCGCGGCGATGCTGCGGACATCTCGCATCTCCCAGGCGCGCCGCTGCTTGCCGCAGGTCGACGACCTGCTCGGGCTCGTGGCGGCGGCGGAGAAGGCGGCGGGCGGCGCCGGCTGGCCGTCGGAGGAGGTGCGACTCGAAGCACGGACCGAGCTCGGCGTCAAGGCGGATGGCCTCGCCTCGGCGCTCGCCGCAGGCCGCAAGCACGCGACCGTCGGCGGCGCCGGCGCGGAGGCGACGCTCGACCCGCGGCTGCTCGCGTTCGAGTTTGCGTCGACCTTTGTGCTGCGCGGCGCCCAGGTGTCGCTCGTCTCCGACTTCATCGCAAAGGCGGGCGGCGGCGAGTCGCTCTGCTGCCAGATGATCATGGGCGGCGGCAAGACGACCGTCATCACGCCGCTGCTCGCGCTGCTCCTCGCCGACGGCAAGCGGCTCGTGGTGCAGTGCGTGCCGGCGGCGCTGCTGGAGATGAGCCGTGCCGTCGTGCGCGCCGCCTTCGCCACCGTCACGCGCAAGGCGGTGTACACGTTCGAGTACGACCGGCTCACCGACTTGCAGGCGACGCAGCGGCTGCGCGCCAAGCTCTCCAAGGCAGCCGCCACACGCGCCGTGGTCGTCTGCTCGCCCATCTCGGTCAAGGCCTTTGTGCTCAAGCTCGTCGAGAGCCTCCACCAGCTGTCGCAGTCGTACGCCGAGAAGCCAAAGGGCGTCGCCGGCGCAATCGACGCCGCGGGCTCGGCGCTGACCAAGTTCGGCAAGGGGCTGCTCCACCGCTTCGGTGTGCCCGGCTCCGACGCCTATGTTGACCGCATCAAGGCGTTGCGCCGCGAGACGGAGGCGTGCGTGGCGGTCTACCGCGTGCTGCAGGGCTCGGCCCTCCTCGTGGATGAGGTGCGCTCCTAGTGGCCGGGGCCCCGCTGGTCGGCAGCCGTCGCTCCACGCCCGCGCGCGCCCTCGCCGCCCGCAGGTCGACCTGGTGCTCCACCCGCTCAAGTCGGAGCTCAACTGGCCGCTCGGCGACAAGCTGCCGCTCGACTTCACGGAGGGCGAGGACAAGACGGGCCTGCGCTGGCGCATCCCCTTCTTGCTCCTTGACGCGCTCTTTGCCGCGCGTGGCGCGCCGCTGGTCAACGAGTCGCTCGGCGCGTCGCCGCGCGCGCTCGAGCTGATCGCCACGCTGCGCGAGCAGCTGGAGGCTGGCCTCAACGCGCAGCACCTGCAGGCGGCGCCGCACCTGCTGCTGCTGCGGCGCGAGTTTTACGACGAGACGCTCAAACCGCTCCTCGCCCGCTGGCTCGTCCTCGTGCTCACGCAGCTCAAGCTGCGCAAGCTGAGCGACGCCGAGGCGACCGAGTACCTCCTCCACCGCAAGGTGCCCGCCGACGCGGGCCAGCGCCTCAGCGGGACGCAGCAGCAGATGCTCCGCCTCTCGGCCGACTGGTTGAGCGCCTTTCTGCCTCACGTGCTCTCGCGCATCGACCGCGTCCACTACGGGCTGCTCTCGCCGGCGCAGCTCGCGGCGGCGCTCAAGGACCAGCCGCAGATGCCGGTGTCGCGCCGGCTGCTCGCGGTGCCCTTCGTCGGCAAGGACGTGCCGTCAAAGGCGTCCGAGTTTTCGCACCCGGACGTGGTGATCGGGCTCAGCATCGCCGCCTTTCGCTACGAGGGGCTGCGCAAGTCGGACCTGCTGGAGGTGCTGCACGGGCTGCGCACGCAGATGGCAAGCCAGCCCGGCCCCTACTCGAGGCGGCCTGCTTGCGCAAAGTACAGGAAGTACGTGGAGCACGCCGGCGCACACGTGCGTGGCTCGCGCGCACCTGCCGACCCGGCGGGGCTCATGCTGGCCCAGTCGGCCGTCGAGATCCAGGCGGCAGAGCGGGGCCGCCGCACGAGGAAGGACATCGCGGCGGAGCGCAAGAGCAGCGGCGGCAGGCGCAAGAGCAGCGGCGAAGGGCCCATTTGGCGTCAAGCCGGCAGCGGCGGCGGCGGCGGGGCGGGCGCCGCAGCCGCCACTGCCACCGGCGGGAGCAGCGGGATCGAACGGCTGACCAGCTGGAGCAGCGCCGCAACAGAGAGGCTGCGGCAGACCTCCATCGCTAAAGCTGCCAGCGGACGCGACTGGGGCAAGGACGTGCGCGACATGGGGTCGTTCGTGGCACGGATCTCGTCCCGCGCTCTCCGTGCGCTAGGTGCGGCGACGGCTCGCTGCATGCAGGACCAGGGCCAGCGCATCCACTCGGCCAACAGCGAGCTGCGGCGGCACAAGGCGGCGTCGAGTGATCCAAACATGTGCGCCGGTTTGGGAGCGGTGGCGCGAGGATACACACATCCTAAGCGAGGCGAGCCGCCGCCACCGAGCCAGCCGCCGCCGCCGCCGTCCATCCCGCCGTCGGCGCCCTCCGAAGCCAGCTCCCGGAGCCTCGAGAGCATCCCGTCGCCCGATTCGCCAACGGTCGAGCGCAAGTCCGGCGTTCTCGAGCCACCGCCGCCGGATCTCTTCGACGAGGACGTGCTGCCGCTGCAGATGCTCGACCTCGGCGACCCCGAGCAGGTCGATCAGCTGCACGGGCTGCTACACAAGGTGCCGCACGTCGTGTACGACCTGCTCAACGAGCACACCTTCCCAAAGACGATGGAGTTCCAGGAGACCAAGCTCTCCGCCTCGGGGCAGGACCTCGGAGGTTCGGTCCTCTTCCCGCTGCGGCTCGGCTTCTCGGGCACGCCCTCGTCGCTGCTGCCGCTCGAGATGGGCGCCTGCCAGTTCGCGCGCACAATCGAGGCGCAGATCATGCGCACCCTGACCGACCCCGCCATCATCTCGCTCACCCGCCTGCCCCTCGACTGGAGCGTCGAGTCGACGCTGCACCACGTGGCGACCGCCGTGCCGC